ACCCTTGTCACTTTCTTCAAGCGTAACGATCTCTTTTTAGCATGTTGTGGACCTTGCCTAAGCTATCTCACAAATCTTGCCTGAGCCCAAAAGCTATCCCCGTTTGTGCTTTGCCAGGAGAGTTTCCTGAAACTGGTGAGCCTCCAAAAGCAAGAGTCGGAGAAGGTGCGCGTGAAGTGCCGGGCCTTCTGGGCGACCGAAGACCACATGAGAGAAGTCATGAAACTGAAAGAGCCGCTTCCTTGGCAATGCATCAGTTTGGCATGAACCATAATCAAAAAGGCTTAAGAACTTTGTATTTCAATCTCAAAAAGCAATGTTTGGCCAACCTGAGGCCCCGCATCCGTGCTGTCAAGGAGTTTTGCGAGAAACGCCCCGGCTACACGGAGAGCCTTGCTGGAAGTTGGATATTCTTGCCCAGTTCCCAAACTGGAAAAAAGGGAGCCTTCCCCGAAAGGATGTCAAGTTGCCCCAAGGCAAGGTTGTTTGTTATATAGTTTGCCTAAGATAATTAGGTTGAACCAACAAGAAGCATGTGTGCGCACAAGAATCTGAAAGCTAACATAGATAATGTGCTTGAAAGTTCTTTCAGGATATCTTTCTTGGTTGCTTTATGTTGCCATTGGTGTCCCAAGGTATGACCGCTATGAGGCGAAATTGAAATATTGGTACGAGGAAGAGGTTCAAGCTGAATGGGAGAAAGAGAAATCCAAGACCACCACGGAGGATGTCAGCTATGGAGTGGCTGGGTGCAAAATAGCCCATAGTCTTTGCTTCACCCAAAACAAAACGATAATTGGATAGGTGTTCCAGACCCCTATTTACTGCCCAGGTGGAAACCGATCTCGACGAAGCCGCGATGGCCTTTGCGTCCAGCTCCATTCAGATGGATGTGGCCACGGCGGCTGGAGGCAACCTGAAAGCTCTGAGGGCTTGAGTTGAAACACCTTTGGACCGCCGTAACAACTTGTGTCAAATTGATGCATTCCCTCAACTTAAGGTCCATCTCAGGGTCATATCCTGGGTTTGTCCAGGGCCCTTCTCCTGCCAAGGTATGCCCATGGCGGGCGGGAAATCCGAGGTCCAGCCGATGCCAAAAGCAAGCGCAGGCCCAACTCCTATTCTCCCCAGAGTGCTGCAAAATGAGAACCCGTCCAGTGTCATCAACAAGTACATGGATGGGCTTTCCAAAAGGTGTGGAAGGTTGACAGACGCTTGACTTGTTTGGCTTGGCTTGTTGACCGCCCCTTTTTTCAAGCTATCAATCATGATTCCCTCGCACGATGTCACAGGCAATCCCTCAACACCGCACATGGTAAAAACCTGGAATCCAAACATTCAGTAAGGACCTGAAGGGCAAATACGAGTCGATTCCGCCGGAGGGCCGGACTGCTGCACAGAATGGGCTTCTTTGCTACATTGGTTCAGAACAGCGTGTCTTCAGGAGTCAACAGGCTTCTTTGTACAACTTTTCCTGCCAGGCTCATTGAGAAATTTGCACAGGGCATCAACAACATGGAGACCATCTACGGCAAGCTCAATCAAATTTTCAGTTCTGGCGCTGTTGAGGGCTATACCTCTGAGTGCCTAGCCTGCACACACTGTCAACTCCGTGGTTTACATGGCCTTTTTTTACTTCTGTGCAATTTTCCTTGAGGCAAGAGGCTTCGCTGGTATCCCTCTACAAGGAGGCTATGAAAGAGCGGGGGCCCCAACAATGAGCCAAACAATGTTAGCAAAGGCTTGCAAGTGAGAGTTTGGGCTCTCTCAGGGCCACGTGAGAGTGTGGGCTCTTTCAGGGCCAATGACTCCGTGACCATGGAGCAGCGATCCAAAAACATCCCGTTGCCCAAGCAGGGGGCATCCCAGCCGAAGTGCAAAGCTAAGAGCAAGGCGAAGCCCAAGGCGTCGCCAAAGGCGTCGCCAAAAGAGGCAGAGGAAACACCTCAGCCAAAAAAGGTTGCCGCGAAAAGGGCCGCCAAAGCCAAGGCTTAGTGGGGAAGCTCTGTACATAGGCTACAGCCTGGGGTGGCGCATGTGTCTTTCCCAAACTAACAGTACATATACCCGCTTCACCAATGGCTAGAATTTCACTGTGCACATGATAGAGTGGTTGGTTGGCATGCGCCCATCCCTTAAGCTACGCCGCGCAACACAGAGTAGTTTTGATTCGATTGGCTTGGCGTGGGGTAAAAAAAAAGTATATGACATTCAAGGTTGTTTGAACCGTGGTGCTTGATTGACGAACGCATGGACAAACATGTGTAAATTGTCATGGTTGACGGATCGGAAAAACTTAATGTGAATTTGCCAGGTGACATGGCGCCGGGAGTTATGATGAAAAACCTCGCAATGGGTCTGGCAGACGGGGCCCGGCTCCCGGATAGCATGTGGAATAGGCATGGTGTGCACGTGTGCGAATTTTAATCTGAAATGACCCTTACGGTGTTTCCTTTTCCTTGCTAACATTGGGATGGCCTAGGCGCCTGCGAAGCGCTTGAAGAAGTTTGCGCGGAGCGCCTTAGATGAGTGCCCTACTGCCTTTGCTGGCACAGCTGCTCTGAGAAAAGCTGCCAACACAAAAGCCATCAGCAATGCGGAGCGGGACCTCCACCGACTGTTTCGGCAATGCAACATGACGCTGCCTCTACGCCTAAGCTGTTTGAGGTTTCGCTCAATCGAAATGCATTATTTATCAATGCTGAACTGGTTTGGGTCCCTCTTCAAGCAGCGTTCGCATCTCCTACTGGGCGGCTTCCACCTCACTGAAACTAGGGCGTCTCTTTTGCTGAGAACGTTCTGGGCCAACTTTCAGCAATCGTTTGGGGACCATGCGGTTTTCCTACACAAAGAAGGTGAGTTGGACCGATGCGTGCCGTACTACCTTCACCTGGATGAAGGAACCGGGTTAAGGACTGGGATTCTTTGCCCTTTGCTGAAAGCACATGCCAACTTTATAGCCTACTAACATAAGGTGTTTTGACCCGTTGGGTTGCCTGATGTTGCCTGTCAGGAAAAGCGCAGTGCTGGTGATCAGTTGGCAGGCGACCTTTGGCAGCGAGACAAAGGGCAGGTTTGAGATGGAGTTCAGTCAGCGCAAGGGGCAAAGCGAGGACGAGATGCATGAGATGATGACGCGCGCGCAGTTTCACAACGCCCGTGGCATCACCTACAACACCAGGTTCCTCTTCACGGTGCTGCCTAAGAAAAGCTATACGGGCAAGTGTGCCCCTGCTCACACTGAGTTCCTCAACATCATGGCCGATGAGGCCTGCAAGCTCATGTTTGATGGAATCAACGTCAATGGCATTCGCTACTTCCCAATATGTTTGGGGGTGAAAGGGGACGCTCCATCACATGTGAAGGTGGGTGGCCTCAAGAGGTCTTTCCAGAACCTTGGGAAGGACCTGGGATGTTGCTTCGAATGCCTTGCCGGGCGGCCCGGCGTGCCCTTTGAAGACACCTCGCCGAATGCTGCCTGGGAGGCCACGGTGGGAGTGGAAGCCCCATGGAGTGAACCAGGTCCCTTGTTGAAGATTCCGGCCTTGCCCTTCAACCCGCAGTCGTTCTACATGCGCGACCCTTTCCATACCTTCAAGCAATCTCTTGGAGGGCATTTCGTCGCCAGCGCAATCATCTTGCTATGTGAACTTGGTTACTGGCCGGGCCAGGGGAACTCTGTGGATGCGCGGTTGGACCGAGCCTATTTGGATTTCGCGTTCTATGTGAAGCATGAGTTCGCTGGCAAACACGTGGCCCACATCAAGCACTTCACAAAAGCTTTGATGCACTTCCCCCGGAATGACTCTTACCCTTACGGGCGGTTCAAAGGATCGGACTGCATGCTCATGGTGCGGTGGCTTCGCCATATGCTGGTACAAGGTGTTTATCTTGAAAGTCACCCTGGGGGCCGCCAACAAAGAAGCCCTTTGAACTCACCAATTGAGGATTGGCATGGCCCGCTTCTGAGTGCAATTGTCACGGGCTCCACATGTGCTGTGGAGTTCTTCCATCTAATGCACCGCGAGGGCATTTGGCTTTCCCGACCAGTTGCCAGCCAGATGGCTGACTGCATCTACAAGTTCAACGAATCGTACATGTGTTTGGCCACCCTTTGTTTCAGAAAGGGCCTGCGAAGGTTTCACTTGGAACCGTGCATGCACGCATGGGCACATTTTGCTCATGACATTTCGTCAGCCCTTCAACAAGGGGCTCGCTGGATTATGAGCCCGGGCGTGGCCAATTGTGAGGCCTGCGAGGATTTTGTGGGCCGCGTGTCCCGATTGACACGTTGTGTTCACGCATCAGGTTGCACTTTGAGAACCGTCCAGAGGTACATGCTGAAAGTTCATAGTGTTTGGGAGAACTGGTGAATAACCTTTTTCCTTCACTGGCCACTTGCTCCTACACCTTGCCCTAGCCTAAAGTGGACTCTTCAGTGCGTTCTTCAGTCAAGCCTAGTTTGCGCATGCATGTTGCATTCTATATAAACTTGAGTTTAGCCTTCAATGTTAAAGCCAATGTGATGGGGCTATGAAGGCAAGCCGTGAAAAGGGGCTACAGTGATGTGTAATTAATTGAGCCCCGTGGAGATACCTACGTGGCCACCCATCCACTCAGGCGCTGGCCTTGACAAAGGCCGATGATCGACTGAGGTGTTTGAGCAAAATTGTCAGCAGTGCAGGCGCAGGCCAGCATGACCCCATTTTGGTTTTGGGTAGCCTTTTTTTCCTTGGTGGCCCCAAAATAAAGGGGTCACACAAAACGGGCCAAAAAAAAGGGGACATGGAGACTCAAGGTACATACATTGTTACTCACGCGCGGGGAGAGAAAAGGGCAGTCAATGCAACTGGCATTGTCCAGGTTTGGACATTTTGCAGCCACAGCATACGGGCATTTTTTTGGTGCCTGAACAGGGCACCAAGTGCCCGCCTTGGAGTTGGGGCACACCACCCTTGCCCTTCGGTGAGGGTTCGAAGCGAACGAGCCACTGGAGTGAGGACACGGCCGCGTGCCTGCCCAAGTCCCTGGCAGACGTGCCCTCGGACCCAGGCGCCGAGAAAACCGGATCTCAGGGAGATCGCTTGGTTTTTCCTGCTTGGTTCATTTGATTTCGGCCGATTTCGGCTGGCGGGTCCTGCAATTGTTGGAAAGCAGAACGTGTTTTGGTGTTTGCTCAGGAAGTGAGGTCCAGCTCGTCAAATTGGCACGTCATGTTTGGGCGGGAAACGGTTGGGCTCGTGGGCTCAGGGGGCAAGCAGTTCCTGGACAAGCCCCTTTGGAGTCTGCCGGAGGCCTGCGAATCGGAACTCGGAAGTGGGTTTCCAGCTCACTGGACGGATGGCTACCATTTCGGCGAACCAAAATCGATGACCCGGCAGCTTTCACTTGGGACTTGCCAATCCAGACATCTTGTGATCGGGGTTCAGTTCAACATGAGTCTTTCGGGAATCTAGCGGATGACTGGCCACCATGGGGTAAAACAAGCTGACTATGATGTAGGTTCTTTTGGGGAACCAACTGCTGTAATTTAAATGACACATACAGATTCATTGACATGTGCTGCATGTTAAACATGCCGGCGGGCCCTGGCGCTTCTTGACCAGGGCTACTTGGACCCCAAGTTCTCTTCGGACGTGATGGTGATGGACGAGTCCAGTGGCTTGACCACAGGCGCCTCGCGTTCCAAATGTCTACGGGCGTGATATGTTTCTCTCATTGCCAGACTTGGCTTTGGTTTGGTTTCTCGTCATTTCCCCTTTCAAACAGCAAGAATCAGCAAGAATTGCTTTGCGGGGGGGTGGTCAGTCCGTTCCGGAAGGGTTCTCCTCCCCTGCGGGTGAAAATGTAGCCCAACAAATAATGAACTCCTTGTGAAAAAAACTCTTTTGGGGTTCCCCCCCATTTGCAGAGAACCCTTTTTTGGGAGACTGTGAACGGGTCCTTCTGCACATCTTCGGAGTCATGGTTGAACCATCTTGGAAGCCCATTAGAGGTTTGTTGTTGGCTATTCTCAATGTCTCGCTCAAGGAAAAACACCCTGATTTCAGGCTTTGATGAATGCGCCATGGTGCTGTCTACTTCCAACTGCACACTTTGATAGTACAGTCGTGAGAACAGAAGCCGAAAACATAAAAAGCGCAGCTCTAAACAAGCTGCGTGGCCATTTTAGAGGAGAACCTTAGTCTATCAGGAACCCTTTGGCACTGGGCCAGAATATCAGAGGACATGCTTCAACACGTCATCACCTTTGTTGGACGGTTGCCAGGCACCAAGAAGCCGCCGTCCGATGAATCTGACTGAGCGCGCCAGGAAAAAATCGACGGCAATTCGATGCAGCACAGGGGTCCTCAGTTCGATTCCAACCCTGTACGGGATCAGTCGGGATCGCAAGCGCGCCTGCAGACAGAGTAACCCTGTCGTTTAAGCAGGTGTCATGATTCCGATGCTTGTGGACTCAGGACTATCTAGTTTTTTAGCCAAGAGAATCCGCTTTTGAGTAATGAATTAATCATGTTGTGGATGGACGAAATCCTGCACCACTTTGCAACTATGGGAAGTCACTGTCTGTTGGATTTTTTACACAAAGATCCTCATTCCAGGCTTTCTTAGGTGGTTCGAAATGGATTTCATCCATCCACGATGCCCCACTTTGGCAGCACAGAACAAAGGAACCATGGCGGTTGTCCTGTGTCCTTTCCTTGAGCCCTTAAAGGAGTGGCCTTGGAATGCCCTGGGCTCAAGTAAACCTTAGGGTTCAACATATTGCTAGGAGTGGCTCGTTTCACCATGGGTAAGTTGGCCAATTTTCGCTTTGTCTGCGAGGGAAACCCTACCTTCCTTTCAAGACCACCCCATGGGCTTCCCTTCTTCGGGAAAACTAGAAAAGAAGAACACACCCATTTGACTGTCGGAAGCAGCCTGGGGTGCCGGGTCAAGCAAACTGCGGTTGGGATCTGCCCGAAACACTCGCCGTCTGCCTGAGACGTCAGGAGCTCTCCAGTTCACCCCTTCTGGGCTACGGACAGAGCTTCAGGGAGTACCGGTGAAAGCCCACAGGCTTCTGCCACTGACAGACTACATGCCAATGTAGATAAGCGATGCATAAGCTGATGCCGAAATTGGGAAGTGCCTCGCAGAAAGTTGGGCCATGCGACTCCATGCGCCACATGGGCAGCCTGGATCCGGAAACCGGTTTCACTGGCCGGGTGGAAAAGTCCTGCAGAGTGGCCGTGGAGTTTTTCGTTTCGAAAACGGCGAGAGAGCACCTGAGAATAACGGCAACATTTGAATGATTCTTGTTGTAAGTCATGAAGGTTTGGGTTTCCCTGCTTGTTTGTGTTCGATGTTTTTTTTTTAGGTCTATGCATTCAACACTGTATCTATTCAAAGCACCCCCGAATCGAACGTAAGAGTCTATCGAACAAGTGGGGCGGCGGACCACTCTTGATGTGTTTTTGGAAGCTGCCCATCTTTCAGGGTGGTTTGAATGAATGCATTGGTGAAAATCAGCTGGGATCTCCCTTCTTCCATATGGAGAGGCAGCATCATCGGTTTGTATGATCCAGTTTCCGGCGAACAGGGGTGGACGTTGTGTTGGAAGGCATCTGTTTGGCTGAGTTTGCTTTTTTAACCTATTAGAGAAAATCAGCTTCCTCTAACATGATCCATGTTAAGCTGGACATGTGCCGATTGGAAAACTATCGCATGGCAGAGGAATGTGACACCAGGCAAAGAAGCAACAGTCTTTAGGAAAACATGGGGTATGATACGAGCTTTGCTGACCTGGGCTATGCAAAGCTGGCGAAGAAGCCATGAGCATCAATGTCGGTTTTCCTCCACTCTCATTTCCAATATGATCCTGTGCTTTTGGGCTGCACGCCTTTTTCCATACCCTGCTCCCTGAACAGCGCCCCCCCCAACAGTTAGCCTTGCTCTCCGGCGTGCGGCGGTACCCTGCGTTCAGCATCCTCCAGTCGTTAGTCGTTGTGGTTTTCCTATTCAACATTGATGCCGAAAAATGGTTCCAAGTCTTTTCCTACCAGAGCCACTGGAAAACTGGGGGTCTTGTTTTTGCTAGGGAGACAATTGCGACAGGCACGCGCCCCAAATACGTATCCGCACATTACCCCTGAACAAAACACGTAGGTTGGTACACCCCCTAAAGGGACATATGTGGCCATTAACCTTGATAGGGGAGCACACTGCCACCCCAAGCCCCCCATACCCCGGGTTCCGTGTCGGCGCCCCCATTCGATGAACCTCTCGCGCAGAGCCCCAGCCTGAGTTCGCCTGACATTTTTTTCTCAAGGGCTGGCTTTGAATGCAAGTCCCAAATACATGGCTATGCCACCAGGAATCGATCCTTCCGACTTCTCTGAAACAAATCCCACGTTGGACGTTGACCTTGGGATGGTCATTTTAGTGGTGAAGTTTGGGCGCGAGCCCATCAACCCAACAGCTGGCGCTTTCTGTTGGGAACAACCAAGCAAAGGACTCCAAATCCCTTTCCAGGTTCCGGAAAGCGCCCTTCGCAAAACAAGGCGGGTGGTTCCTCATCTGGCTTCTCTTTCAAAACACTGCCCAAAACGCATCTTGGGCCCTTCAAACGGCTTGTTTTGAGGGCCGACACGTCCCGATGGAAGTTTGTTCCCCCCTTTGGAGGATGCAATGGTGATGTGGATGGCCGTGGGAAGGCCCGCCTCAACAAAAAGACTCCCCCCCCCTTTCGCAACATTTGCCATATCCATTATATCCCGTAGCCTGCCATGGATGCCTGGGCCACGGCCCCAGGACTTTATGTTTGAAGGCTGGCTAAATATGAAGCAGAGTCGGAAAGGCTTGCTTGTTGTGTGCCCTAGAGTTGGCGCAAGATGTACCAAGTTAGCAAATTAGTTAGCAGGCTTGTTGAGAATCCATGAGGTTTGTCGGTGCAGCCATCTTCTTTAGTTGGTTACTGTTGCAGTTGTAGTTTCCCTTTGGGCAGATAAACCAGTTGGTCCAGTTAGTTAGTCGGTTGCTTTGCCAGTTACACCTACAGCTAGCCACACGTACAAAGCACCTAAAACCTGCATTTTCTGGATTAGCTAGTTCTACAAAGCTGAACGCTAGCTTACTTGTTGGTTTTCAACGCTAGCTGCCTCAACAGCCAGACCGACCTCACCCGCTCTTCAGACCTTCAGACTTCAGGCACAGGCCTTTATCGCGGAGGCGGAGAGCGGCCACGCGGGGACCTCGTGAGCGAAACTTGCAGGTTTGGGTTTTGGAAGTACTGCTTAATCGCCAACAGCGGGGCCTCCAACGAAATCTGAAACAGAATCTGAAAGACATGTTTTGTCGCGCAGCTCATGCGGGCCAAGATAAGCTTGTAAGGCAGCATGCACCCTACAAGTGGTATATAGCCTCCATACCTCTGAAGTCCATACCTGAGAATGCCCTTGAGGTTGGGAAATGGCTGGGATCTGCAGGGACTCTCTTAGTTGAGTTGCCTTAAGTTCCCCTTGGGTGTTTTTAAACAGGACCTCCTGGTTGCAACATGTTAAAGTGAGTCTTTTGGTGAGGTTTAAGCGGAAAGTATAGGGGCCGTTTGATTTCCATATTAGACTGGAGAGTAGTTCTCTGTGATGCATCATTTATCAGATGTCCCCAAAAAGGGTACGGATATCGCCAGTCAACACACCGCCCAAACCCACTGATTTCGCGGATGCAAATCCATGGCTGTGTTTGTGCCCGTTTTGGTTTGTTTTTTTCAGGGAAATCAAGAGGAAAGACATTTAAGTTTGGAGGGCTCCCTATGTTCAGGCTCTCACATTGTTGTGGAAAAGTAGGCTTCAGGGCAAATGTCTTCCATACCAAGGGAATCCCATAAGGGTGATGTTCCACATCCATGTTTGTCTTTTTTTGCCCGTTCCCGTGCTCCTTTGGCCGTTCTTTGATGGAGAATCGAACGCATTTTGGTAGAACATATGGATTTCCTTGCTTAGGTACAAATTTCTACCCTTACTCCGTCGGAGCAACCTGACAACACCTTGGTATAAAGATAGATAAAAGGATAGAAGGACCTAGGGAAGACTAAAACACAAATTCTCACTTCTCGAGTTTGGACTTTCAGCTTTGTGGGAAGGTCTTTTTAGTGGTAAACAAGTCTTGGCGTTCTGTGACCAATTCACTCGGGGACTGAGATTTGAAAGTGCGCTTAGGTGTGTTTGGGGTACGGGCGTGTGTACGAGTTTGACGGACCAGCCAAGAAACGCCCGCAGCAAATGTTCAACTTGCGACGCCAACACAAGATTACTTGGCCAAAAGTTCACCATTTTTCGACTTCCCCAGGCCTCGGCAGAACTCACAAGCGCAGTTCGGTGAAATGCGAGCAATCCTTTTCCAGAAGCTGATTGCCTTGTCAAGGACTTCAAAATACCCGTGGTTTCCCTTTGCCCTGGCTATTCGTAGACGCCACGCTGAGGCTGGGCGGACTCTGCAACTTGTGGAAGCTGCTGGGGCCCCAGCCAGATAAGCCGACAGGTGAGCTCACCAGCCAGTGGAACGTTGAATTTGGGGACAGACATCACTGGAATAGGGAAACGTAGGGGTGCGTCAAAAAACCAAATTTTGTCGCCCATAGGAACACAATGTTGCCAAGCGCAGTTTTGAGTAGGGAGTGCGCTCTGGACTTAATAGGTCATTTGATGTGGAGGCCGTTGCCCGAACATGATGGTTTTGGTTTCCCGCCAACTAGCATGCAAGCACACACCTCACAGAAATTTCATTGTGGTTGCCCCAAACCATGGTTGCAAAACTATATAGAAGTAATAATTACCTGTCACTGCTGCAGGGGGGTAGTGTGGGAACGGCCAAACACCACACGAAGCCACGGAAGGTTGGCGCTCTGATTCATAGGAGGGCGTCCCATTGTCCATTGTGGAGGGCTTCTTTACTTTTGGGGGAGGAACACCCCCTAAGAATCCGAATCTGCCAGGTTGATCCACCCTGTTTGGGATCTAACTTCCCTGGGTGAGCCGACCTGCTTTTCAATATTTTCACTGGCTGGCTGCTTTCAAGTTGGCAACATGCCCGCTCGCATGACAGAAAAGGAACAGGTGGATGGGGGGATCCCTGATTTCCTTGTTTGCTTCCATTTTCCCTTTGTGCGAAAGGCTAGGGCCTACGTAGGGTTGGGGAAGCTGTCAGCGAGTTGAGTTTTGTTTGTTGGGCAAATGCTTCATGGAAGGCAACCTGCTTACTTCACTGCGGGTTTGGAGTTTCTTCCAAATAGGGCTGCAGCACAAATCCAAGGAGAGACCAAAGTTCAGCTCCTCTTTAACGCGGACAAACTGTTTCTTGTTTGCACCCTCTTTGAAAAGCCCATTTTTGGTCCCTTTGACAAAGTAGCATAACTGTTTGTTGGCCCTGTGGCTCCAACCAGTTTTGGAGCGGTCCCTTGTAAGGTCCCTTTTGAACAAGTCCCTTGAGTCCCATGTGGTTCCCTCGGAGTAACCGGCCGCATCGAGGTACGCCATGAGCGATGGACCGTTGAAGCGGCAGCATGGCGCTGAGAGCGGCGGGTTCCCTACATCGTTTCTCCTTTGGTTTCAAGGGACGCTGGATGCCTTAAAAATGCAAAGGAGGGGTATGTGCGGGTCTGTGTTTTTTTCGCTTTTGGCTTCTTGGCTTTTCGGCTTCTTGGCTTCTTGGCTTCTTGGCTTTTCGGCTTCTTGTTGGTTTATGTGGCGTTTGGTGGCTTTGGCTTTCCGCATCCTCTGCTTTCCCAGTTGCTCTCCGGGCTTTTTGGCTTTTGCACCCCTTCATTGGTTTTTGGCTTTGGCTTCCCGCATCCTCAGCATCACCAGTTCCTCTCCGACAAGTGTTCTTTATATCGTTGTTTATGTAATTTATGTATGTATGTCTGTATGTATGCACTTCTTCGAACGTCATAGGAAAGCCACCCCGCGCTGCTTTTTATATTCCATCGCACCCTTTCTTGAATCTTAGCACCCCAATCATCACTTTTTCGAACATCATGGGGGGGGCTGCCGCCCCCCCAACCCCCTTGGAGATTCTAGTTGAATTGTAACTTTTTCGAGCATCCAATTTCGCGAGAAAATGCTGTAGAATGCGACATTGTATGTAATCTATGTAATGTATGCATGGCTGTATGCATGCACTTCTTTGAACATGCTAAGGGAAGCCACCCCCGCCAACCTCTTGAATCATTGCACCCCTAGTTGAATCATCACTTTGTCGAGCATCATGGGGGGTGGGGTTGCCCCCGTGGCTTAGACTGTTCGGGACAGTGTGAAGATCATGTTGGGCACGGCGCGAGAGATGCGTGGGGTGCGGGGGTGCGTGGGGTGCGTGGGTGGGTGTGTGTGTGTGTGTGGGTGTGTGTGGGTGTGTGTGTGGGGGTGTGTGTGTGTGTGTGTGTGTGTGTGGGTGTGTGTGTGTGTGGGTGTGTGTGGGTGTGTGTGGGTGTGTGTGGTTGTGTGTGGGTGTGTGTGGGTGTGTGTGGGTGTGTGTGGGTGTGTGGGTGGGTGTGTGTGTGTGTGTGGGTGTGTGTGGGTGTGTGTGGGTGTGTGTGGGTGTGTGTGTGTGTGGGTGTGTGTGGGTGTGTGGGTGTGTGGGCGCGTGGGCGCGTGCGCGCCGCGTGCGCGTGCGCGTCTGCGTGTGCGTGTGCGCGTTTGCGTGTGCCTAAGCGCCTAAGCGCCTAAGCGCTTAAGCGCGCTAGGCGGGCGGGCGGGCGCGGCGGGCGGACGCGGGCGGGCGGGCGGGCGGGCGGGCGGGCGGGCGGGCGGGGCGGGCGGGCGGGCGGGGGCGGCGGGCGGGCGGGCGGGCGGGCGGCGGGGCGGGCGGGTGGGTGGGTGGGTGGGTGGGTGGGTGGGTGGGTGGGTGGGTGGGTGGGTGGGTGTGTGTGTGTGGGGGTGTGGGGGTGTGGGGGTGTGCGGGTGTGCGGGTGTGCGGGTGTGCCAGGCCCCGTCAATGCCACGGAGGCTGCAACCGCCGTGGTCTACGGGGCGCCCGCTGGTCTGCCGCATGAGGCGGCGGCGCGGCATGGCTACGAACCTGTGCAGCTGCACGTGTTGCATGCTGCGGCGCTCGCCTGGAGAGCCAGCAGCCTACAGGACAATTCCTGGAAATCCACTTATTTTTGTGGCGCGTGCGTGGCCAATTCTATGGTTTCTATGAAAGGACATGACTAGCCCCTTTTGGCCACAATTCAAGCATCTGGTAGGAGACGTTTCCACCCCTTTTTCTGGGTTCAAAGTACCATCACCCACGCCGACCCGGAATCCTCGAGCTCTTCAACCTGGAGATGCTGATCCGGAACCGATGGATGAAGAAGAGCTGGGGATTTTGGCCAGGTTTCAAGACGTGGGGTGCGCGGGCGTGCGGGTCGTGCGGGGATGCGCGGGTGCGCGGGGTGCGTGGGGGTGCATCAATTGGCAGCAATTGGCCAATGAAATGCAGATGCAGTGGTCATCTTGATTGCCAAGGGCCTTCACCGCAAAGTGAACAGGACAGAGGTTTTTCGCTAGGGCTCGCGTTCTACAAAAAAAACAGGGAGGGCCGGGGGGCTGGGGGCGTGCCCGAAACACAGCTCGCTGAGGAAGCTGCACGGCTTGCAGAAGCGAAAGCTGCGCAGGGGTTTCGGGCCTTAGCTTGCTACGAGAGGTTTCGCCTGTAAGACAACTCAGAGAGCCCAATACTCCTTAACTAAGGAATTCGGCTTGAAATTTTAGAAGTACCCGTAAACTAAGGAAAACAGTGTTAATTAAAGGGCCGGATAACCCCACATGTCTAGCCTTAGAAAACACATGCCCGCGTGAAGCGGAAGCGCGGCGCGCGGGGTGCGCGAGGCGCATGGGGCGCGGGGGGGGGGGTGCGCGGGGCACGCGGGGGTGCGCGGGGTGTGCGGGGTGTGTGTCGGGTGCGCGGGGTGCGTGTGGGGTGCGCGGGGTGCGCGGGGCACGCGGGGCACGCGGGGTGCGATGTGTGCAGGGCGAAGTCCCTGCCTCATTCCGAGGCCTACCTTGCTTGGGCCTTGACAATGCGTTACATGACTGGCTGAGCTGGTTGCCCAGCAATCAAAATTCGTGTTTGAAGTCTCGCCAGAAGATTCTATGCGAGTGTTGGTATCTTGAAAAGCTCCACGAACTCTTTGCCAATCGTCTTCGTCCGTCAGTCTTCCCACTGGCATTGCCAGAAGCTTTCCCAACACCAAGCTCAGGTACTGGTTCCATTCCACTCATTCTTTGACCCCCCCACCCCCCCCCCCCCCCCCCCGCTTTTTTTTGATGTTGTACAGAGATTTAATTGCACCTTCATTGAATCATCACTTCTTCGAACATCATGCGGGGAACTGCCGCCCCCCCGCCACTTGTTAATTTTTTAGACTTTTTGCAGAGATTTAGTTGCACCCCTATTTGAATCATCACTCCTTAAAACATCATGAGGGGGGCTGCCGCCGCCCCAACCCCCCCCCCCCTCCGGCTACTTTTTCTCCTATTTCAATCATCATTTGTTCGACCCCGTCAGCCCGCCAACTAACCCACGATTTGTTGGTGATGCTGGGGATGTTGGTCAGACACGCGGGGGGTGTTGAAAGCAATGCTGGGGATGTTGACGGGCCAGTGTAAAATGCGTCAATTTCGCAAGAAAATGCTGTAAAATACGACATTTTACTGGCCAAGACGAAAAACAACACAAAAAAAAAACAACGAAAACAAAAACAATATCAAAATACATCCGCACCCAATTGCAAATCTGGAGCAGGGGAAGCCCTGTAAAATGTCCATGGTTTGTGGTTGATATATTTGCTATAGTAAGGGCACCTACTGGAGGCCAAGTGTTTTTGCTTCACAAAACCCGCCAATGCCTTGCCCTACTTACCGTCTCGGTTGACAGGTTTTTGTCAGTTTTTGCTGGGCAGGAAAAATGAAATCCATTTGTTGGGGTCCAAATCAACGTTTCTGCAGCACCTGATACTTTTTGGCAAGCGCATTTTCACGGCAAACGAGTGAGCCAGTGCTGGAAGCAAAAGTCAGCTGCTGGAGACTCTTCGCATTGCGAGTTTCCTTTGTTTAGGCGGGGGCGGGAGTGCACAACATGCTTCCGACGAGCTCCGCCCAAAAGACCAACCGTTTTGTTGATCTTTCTACTTCCTTTCTCAGCTGTGCTCCCTTGAGGGTGTGCTCCTTGATTGCTCCCAACCATATACTCCTTTCTTCTTGCTATGCAGCTAGCAAGGTTCTGTGGGGTGCAACCCAATGTTCAATATCCGCTTGGCTGATCGGAGAGCGCACACCATTTCAAAGAAGATCCATATTAGTTACTTTGTGAAAGAGCATGCTACAAATCCGACAGGCTCAGCCCGGGGTCAACATCCCAAGCACCTGTTGAACAACTCCCTGAGCAGCCGGGCCCACTTTTGAAGGACAGTTAAAACAACTACCTGTCCGCAAACGTGGAAGTAGCACGCGGGCCCCGTTTAGGAACTGTTGGGATAGGGCCCCTGCGCACTTCCATGTTTGACGGAATGCTAGGCGCTCGGCGTTCACGTGTTTGCTCAGTGCGAAGCCCGGGTTTTACCCGAAAGCGGTTTGGATGAGCTCTTTGTGGATTTCACCTGTTCTTCCCCCTGTAGGTTCTTTGTTAGTGCTCTTTTAGTACTCTTTTAGTAGTCTTTTGATATCCTACACAGAATAATCCACAAAAAACCGCATCCAATCCGTTTCCCAGAAAAACAAACCAGGAAGATAAAGCTTCCAGACCCGCTGGCCCTGCTTCTGCCCTCCCCCCCCCTCCGCCCTCCTGAACACTGAGGCGGCGTTGGGCATGGTGCCTCTGAAGGCGGCTCTGGACAAGGAGAGCAGCGCTGCAGGTACGCAGACTGCAACCCTGGCTTTTACCACTTGGAAGGTCCACTCTGATGTGCCTAGGGGCCCGTGCCCCTAGGTAAGCGTCCCCCAGAGGACCCACTGCGGCTAATGCTAATGCTGCTAGGTTGGGAGCTGCTTGCTCAGGCTTCTCCAAGGTGGCTTTTCATATTTGGACCTCGGAGCTTTCCTCTTGCTGGGAGTCGTGGCTTTCAAAGCTGCCCATTTTGGAGCGACAGAGCCGATGGAGCCGGATCGAAGCAGAAGGGATCATGTCCGGACACCCCGAATGGGTTGGACGATTCAAGCCGACCGCATGAATCAGTGCAGTCTTCTGAGAATGGGTATCATGTCCTGTCAGAGGGTGGGCTTGGATGGATCTGAAGTGCACATCAAGCATAATGCGATGCACACTCCACGTCAATAAATTAGAATGGGTATTCATGGGCTTCAATCTTGTCACCCAGAGGGGTATGGAGGATTCCCCAATCATTGCGCAAGATGGGATGACATATTTGATTCTTTGACTGCAAGCTAGAAAGCACGAACAAGAGACAATTCTGAAGGGCGATCACCCATTCTTTTCACCAATTTGTGCACCAATTTTCCGAAGGCGATACCTGCAAAGAGCGGAGGAACAGCTAGGACCACCCAAAGAAGCCTCACCCAAGCTCCCTCCGCAAGTGGGTGTGTGATGCATACTCAAAGTGTCCACTACATCCTGGCTCCTGCATTCGCCGCAGGCCGCAACCGGATCCTGCGGCAATGGCTGGGCAAGTGCAAGTCCCAGGCGGACGAGTGCGTTCTTGCGCGAAGGGCGAGCTACGACCTTTATTGGTGTCCTTGGCGTGCGCTTTTCTGAGTGCCGCTTTTGGGCTGGTTTAACGGGAGCAGGAAGACTACCATTTTGAGTCCCCCTGTTCTATTCACACAAGCCATGATGGTAAAGGTTGCATATTGAGGGTTTCTCGAAAATGCATTGGGGCAATGTGGTTCTCTTTGTACCACTGTTTAGAGGGCAATTTAGAGGACGTTTCTTCAATCGACCCAATGCTTCAATGATAGAATAATTTTACATGGGCCACTGTTATGGGCCATTATTTTTGTGGTTTGCTGGCGAGAGACGATGGTTCCAACGAACGCAAATCTGCAAGTTTGATTTCAGCAGAAGGGCAACCGAGGACCCAAACATCTGAGTTCCCAAAATAGGGGCCCATTCAGGAAACTGTCTGTGCCAGTGGGTTTCCTGAATGGGCCCCTATTTTTGGGACCGGGGTTTGGGGGCTTGGCACGAAGAGTCCCAATGGAGTTGGAACCTTTCAAGATTGCTGTCGTCAAAGATTGCTACTCCAGAGGCAGCAGCTGAGAAACGCACACATCCAGCCACCTGGTCCTTGTGCTACGTACCCAATACATAAGGGGTATATATAGTGTATGTATTTTTCAGCCATTAGCGGCGCATAACAAGGGCCCAAGTAAAAAACTTTAGAGGCGGCGCGGCGGCATTGTCACTCCATTTCCTGCTCTCAAAAGCTGTTGTAGACATCATCTTCGTGATAGCCATGTTGGTGCTGTTCGAAGAAGAGTAAGGAGACCCGTCCCCATCATCTCCACCAAAGGCTGAGCACACTCATTTTCAACTGGCAGGTTGAAGATGCAAAGTCCCACCAAGAAGTAGCCATGTGAGCCGCGGTGAAACGACTTGTTTGCCCAAAAGGCCAGGGGAACATAGGGAGACCCCTGATGTTTGTGGGAAGTTTCATGAGTGCCGCATGTCCCTCCCACATGAGCTTTGACCAAGCCTCATGTCCAAAATCACGCTCAATACTGTTGCGGCACACTATGAAGGGACTATATCCAGAAGGACTTTCCGCGGCAAACCAGTAAGATGCCCACGTAAATGTCAATTTCCAGCTCAGCCCTTCCCCCCCCCCCCCAAGCATATTGTTTGTTTGATTCTGCTCCATGTTCAACGAACCTTGAAATCAAGCATGGTTTCACAGCTGATCCCAGATTGAGCTCTACTAAAACCCGCCAGTTTTGGAGGTTTCCCCCCAAAAAAACTGCACAACATATAAGGGATGGGAGGGTCACTGCCGAAACGAGAGCCCACCACCTAGTCAGGCGTCCCGGAACTCATCCATGAACCTCGTTTTGCATGCAATTAGAGCGGCAGGTGGTGGATGCTTGGTCCAGCCTGGGCTTTCCTATGCCACCGCCCGACATGCGAGCTGAAGGCCGCTTGGCACGAGATTTCGTGCTGTCGCCGACTATCAGGGGTCCCTAGATTTCCATTCCTGCTGGTTTTTGAAGTCACCTGTTTGGCTATTTGGTGCATTTAAGGCGAATTTCCTCGAAAGGGTGGTGTTTTTTAAGGGGCGGCTCGGGGGCCCTGACTATCGGGCATGGACCATGTCAGGTGTGCTTCCTCTTGGTCTTTTGTCGTTAAGAAGAAACATGGAGATATTTCAGCACGACAGCAAGCGAGCACGACGTCACGGGAAAGCCTGCGCCCAGTTGTCCAAAGCAAGCCTTTTCAGCCTTCCATACCGTGGATGGGTAAAACCTTGCACCAGTTGGGATGAATAAAGCCGTTATAAATACTGGAATAAACCACCAAGCAACCGGTGCAGACTTTTGCCCATCCCCGGATATCCCCGGTATCCTTTGATTCTGATAGTCTGTCTATCTTTTGGCCAAAGCGGCCAAAACCATCCTCCTGCGATTCTGGGGTGGGCACCCGGCCAATTCAACGACTCGAAGATGACATACACACGCCATGCAGAGCTGCGCAGGGCTGCGGTCCAAAATAAGTTCCTGCCTGTACATATCATGGAACCCACAGGCTAGGTCGCAGAATTAGCCCCCAGATTTGGACTCTGTCGCAATAAAGGCTTGGTCGTTGCTTCCAGTGGCAACAATCGCTTCGGATTTGATCACGGCTAGTCTAGCATTAAACCTTTGTTGGGGAATGCATCAACATGAGGGTCAGTGTCACACATCATGCTGAACGCGCCCTTTGACTTTCTTTGGGGGTGGCTCCCAATCCCCAGCTCCATGGCCAAGAGTCAGCGACTTGAGGCCCAGTAAGGACGGACCTGCTGTGCCCCACATGGCAGCCGATTGGCAGCCGCCCCAGGGCTGTCCCTGGCCACGGCAAAGGATCTACATGTCTCAGAGAGGAATCCAAATCCCTTCTGGGGGGATGACCGTCCGTGCCATCCCCAAAGTAAAAGGGGCGTTTGACCATGGCACATGCGAGTATTTTAGAGCATAGCACTAGAAATCCGCGGCTTGCTTTTAGTGCAGCCTCATGTTTCGCATTTTTTGCATGGTCACCCATGAAGCATTGTTGAGGGACACACCCCTTTATTAGCCCGCAAGGTTCTACAGAAAATCCGGACATGATCGCCTTGGGCTGGGCTTCCCTTGAGCTCTTTGACCCGTCGAGTTGAAAGAAATCCGTCGAGGCCTTGCGACATTGACGTCTGGGTACCCCCAACTTGTTGTCCCGTTCCCCATGTTTCCTTGTCAAACATCACCCCTAGAGGAAATTCCCTCCACAACAGGTTTGATTTAGGCTTGGGCAGCACACTGTCAATCCCAAAGTCAATGTGAAACAAACTTAGGCACGTACTAGTAAAATTGCATCGTAGCTGCTTTGCTTGCGCAAGGTTGCCAATTTTCTCAGTGGATGAGGATGAGGACGGCACAAACCAAATGTTACTGGTCATCCCAGGGGTGCATACAACCCAACACCTGTCACCTAGTCAACATGTAATTGCTAAGCCCAATTTGCCCCTCGTGGAGCCCCGCCCGCCCCCCAGTTTGTCGTTGGGGGGGACCGTGTTCCGAGGAGATCAAGTTCTTTCCACGAACTCCGATGAACATCGGAAGTCAACATGAGTCAACATGGCGACAAAAAAAGCCAGCAAGTCCTTGCGGGGCAACACTTGAAGGGAAGAAGTATGGAAGAAGGTGATTCATGTTGCAATAAATGGGTTTGTCTCCAAATAGGGGACCCTGAAATGTGTTCTTTTGATTTTGGTTCCCTTCTAAACGTGATGAGGCCAAGCTTCCATGCGCTAGTTGACAAAGAGTTCTTCAATGCCGCCTTGGAGTCCATTTTTGTTGACGGCCCCTCGCTCAGAATAACTTGAACCAAACAAAAGACATGGACCGCTTGTCTACCGGGGTCACTGATGGGAGTATGCGACTGACTGCTTGGCCGAGTCGGGCTGGGGGTCGCTCTCCTTCAACTAGGTGCCCCAGTGCCCTTTTACCGTTTCTCTTTTGGGGGAGGGTTCCCCTACTAAAATTTACAAAACCGAAAAAAGAAACGGTACCCTTATGCCTATGCTAACCTCTCTACTGGAGGACCTTGGCTGTCGGACCCGTTTTCCAAGGCCACAGCCCGGCAGTCCCCGCACCCGGCCCTGGGCCAAGAATCGCCCAGACACAGCGGTGCTTTGGTTTTGAGTACCTACCAATTGACATGGAACCTGACAGGGGGTCCTAAAAGACAATTTTCCTTTTACAGAGGCACCTGGGCAGGTTCCATTTGTTAATTGCAATAGTTGTGCAAATGATGGCCCTCCTGATCAGTCAATGGGCGGCTAGGCCATATAAGGCAACGCTATACGCTCCTTGAACCGCCCCCTGGTGTGTAAGTTTTCGAGGGCTTCATGGAAGGAACAGGGGCTACGTTGGATGCTCCAAGTATTGCAAGGAACAAGTGAACCCTTTAATTTGCCCTAATGTTTCATGGCTTTGTGTTTTGAGCATGGTTGCATGCAATATTTGGGGCATCCACCGTATGCAAAGGTGTAAGCACATTGCCAATACACCGGGGAAAACTTAGATTCGCAGTATATAGATGGCGCAATTCAGATGTCGTAGCTAAGTTACACGAGTGACCAACGTGGGGGAACTGTGCCAACTACTTTTGGTGCTCCCCTTTGCGTCCCTTACCAAAAAACTGTTCATAGAACGTATCCCTCGGGAGGAACAGGGGTATGAACAATTGCAAGCCGTTCAAGGGGGTTTATCCAAGGTGTATGTGAAACGGATGTGCGCAGACCCCAGATGAACCGCCAGGGTGTCAAAGGCGCCTTACAGACGAATCCATTGGGACAACAGGAGCTTGGCTTTCTCAGGAGGCTTGCATGTATTGAAGTGTCCCCACTTGATTTGTTCATGAAAACGAAAGTGCCAGGATGCCCTTTCCCAGGTGTGGGTTCTCACCGAAGATGCTTGGGTACTCCCGCTCAGGAGCCCGCAATAACATGAAAACGGATCTTTTCAACAGCCCGGTCAGGTTTCCTGGGTGGAGGGGTACTCACTTCACACTGACAGGGTCCAGTTTGACCGATGCCGAGGCCAGATGTGCGCGCCTGTGTCTGGTGGTGTTGCCGTGCCCGGCATCCCAGGCGGCCTTTTTTTTCAACTGGAGCGGTTGGCAACATTCTTCGAAGAGATACACATCCTCTGACAAACGTAGCAGCTATGGAGAGAAACCTGGAAGGTCGATTTTCTCTTCAAGGGACGGACTCTTTGTCAGGTGCGATGTTGGCGGGAGGGAAGGTATTCCATTCCAAGTTGGAGATGTGAGTTCCCTGCAACCTTTCGAGCCTGGAATCTTTTAAATGACAGGCATGTTCTATCAAAAGGGCCACCTGTTTATCATGGGTTCCCTTGGGTTTACCTATTGGAAACCATCCACAAGTGGCGGTCCCCTTGAAGACGAGGATGGGCTTATCCGAGCTACTTTCTGAGTGTTTCTTATCAACGCACGTGCTCCTTCCACCAAGCCATGCGCAACGTGCACAACCCATGACTTTGCACGTCCGCCCCTTCAGCCAGCGCCCCATTCGTTTGTTTTGTGAGCCGACAAGTGGGCTCACCCGTGCTGAAGGGTGCTTGCAAGCTTAGTGCAAATGTTGGCATCGGTCCCAACAACTTGCAGATTTCCCCCCTCCCGAACCAACGTGCAATGTGGGCCTGTTGGTGTGCAATTATACATTGCCGTTTCATATTGTACCGTCCTTCCCCAAAACTTCGACAGTTCCCCAAGATATTTCTTTCCCGCCGCCACGAGCCCTTGGGTCGAACATGTTGATGCCAAGCTTGCAGAGGCTTCCCTCAGCTCCTCGCAGATCCAACTCCCGTCGCAGAAAAGCGAGGCTCGACTTTGACCAGACCTTGACCACACGGCCGGTTCCCTGGTCCTGGTCACGCAAGCCGGGGGGGGGGGGCTGGCACAGCAGTTTTTCCTTGCCGAGTCCTTGCGCTTGTGGAATTCACTTTTGGAATTTATTGAATGGGCGCTTGGTGGCGTGTGATTTATTGTTCAACTGAGGTTTGTGAGAAGGCCGGCATGAAGAGAACCATGTGGAAGGCCCCCTTATGGCAACCGACCGAAAGCGTCGCAAGTCAATTGAACCTGACCTTTTAGCTTTCAATGGCGGCAAGTGAGAAAAGAAGGCAGGCAACACACTGCCTCGCCAAAACACAACAAACCAGCTGATGCTAAACAGGAGGCAAAGAAAAAGTCGAACCTCGATTGCTCAGGCCGGTTAATCATTCCGAGGGCCATGTTTCTCCGGTCCGGCATGTGAGCCAAGGCATGTCGGCGTCTTCGAGGACAACCGGCCTGCCTGTGAGAAGCCAATTGCCGGTTTTCAAGGAATTCCCAGGGTCTCTGAAAGGACACATCCTTAGACCTTCACTGAGTTGCTTACCTTTTTTTCTTAGGAGGTGGCCCTGAAAAAAGTCAACTGAGGATGCCCATGATGCCCTTTTTTTCCCCAGGGCCACCGGGGTCTGGGGCATTTGGTCAACCCCAGAACCTGTTCCCGCTAACGATGGAATCTCTCAGCCAACGCGGGGGTTCCCATTCTCAGGAACCCGTCAAAGGATACAGATAGGGGCCAGTTGCAAAAATCAGCCAGATTCCCTTTGTTTAGAGGATTCTTTGTGAGGAGTTTGCAAGTGGTTTTTGGATTTAGGAGCCCTTATCACCAAGGGTCTGGGAATGAGCCACCAATTTGATGGGTTAGATTGGGGACATTCTCTCATTCCCGACTGAGAGCCTTCTGTACTACTTGTCTCGTTTGGCGTTCCTTTGATTCTCCCTTTCTATTAGGCGGCGTTGGCTCCCCTTGTTACAGCTTTGAATGCGCCGTAAATGGGCCAGGTCCCCGTTTTTAGTGGTTTAAATTCTATTCCAGGCAGCTTGGTTCCTGGAGTACCCCTGAATTGGCAAGGAGACAGCCAGCTTAGTATTGGTTGAGCAGCGGCCTATTCTAAAAGTCCAGGTTTCTGGGAAAAAGCAATATTGCTTAGTAGGGTGCAGTTGTTAACAGGGGAAAGGGATCAATTGGAGCTATTTGCATAGCCAGGCTTACAGTCTTGTTTGATTTTACTTGATTCCCTTTGCCCGTGTGGGTTGGCATCATGCTTCCCTGAGCGGGGGAGTAGTGTCTGCAAGTGCCCTTCGTGCAAGCCAGCTTGATGTTAACTTTCGTGCATGCATCCATTGCCCTTGGGCTCAAGATCTGAAATTCGGGCAACGCGCCCGCGGTTATCAAAACACAACAGACGCCATCGACCTTGGCACTCGGGGGGAGCGCAACTGACGCGACTCATGGCCAAGCCAGTGGCCCTTTGGCAGCATTTGGGCCGACTGGGTGGCGCTCACCTGGGGGCCAAACGAGCTCACCTCTGACAATGGTTCCTTTTTTGTTTGGATGTCTAGTTTCAGCTTTGTGATTTCCAGCAATTTGCCCAGATGAAGTCCACTTATATTCGACCCCCCCCAGATTCGGTTTCCACCAGTCAGTCAGGGACTGCCTTGTCCATCGGACGGGTTGAACAACACCATTCCCCTTTGGCCACCGAAAAAAAGAAAACAACTGGAAGCAAAAGTTGATTGTTTAATCAAAAGGTGTTCAAACATTTTTGACCCAGCCCCAATCTTTGTGCAAAGGATAGCTCGGCACATGACACCTGGAAAGAACTTGAAACTACCCCGATGCGCAGGGAGATTTGAAAGACATTAACGTTCGGTCGCCGTTTTGTTACATTGTTTGGGTGACATTTCTTGTCACTCGAACCACATTCGAAACTTGCCACGCTGCTGGAATGGTGTTGTTTAGCGGGATGCCCACCAGCACCACCAACAACAACAAAGAACTTGTTGGAGCTCGTGAGTCCCCGTTCCGAGGCAACAGTTGAGACCCCTACAGGCTGGAGCCGGTCGGGCACGATGGGTATTGGGGACGCGGTGGAGGACAGTAGCTGAAATCGAAACTGTGCTTTGCATGTGGGCTGTTGAAAGGCAATCTCCAATGTTTTAAGGTAGGCTACTTATGGGACAGAATCTGAAACATCCCGGATGTGGGCCCAGATCCTTTCTTACCTTGGTTCAGGAAGAACACACATGCTGGTGGTATTGCTGATGGACGAAGAGTTGGGATGGGTGAAATACTATTGGCTATGGGACGGCATGCCAATTGTTTCGTCCATCCACAGGAGGGTGCAGTGCTAGAAAAATAAATGGACCCCAAAAGCATGTAGCTGACTCGAGGCAGACCAATCTGTGCGCTGAACAGGCAGGGCAAAACCAAGGAGCTTAAGCTGAGCTCCAAAGCTCGAAACATGGGCATTTGACCCTTGGCCCTTGCACACTTCCGAAGCCCCCAGATATCTGAAGGTTGATCCCCCATTCTTTCCACCCATTGCTCTTTGAGAGGCCGCTAGGAAGGTTCCCGAAAATATTAGGGGGCCTAGTTGTCGTTCTTTTCAAAACAAACACGCTCTCCCTTTGGTGGTTTGCTGGACAATGATTCTCGGCAGAAACGGACAGTCACCCCTAGAACTCCCCCTGGTCATGATAGGTCATGATTGGTCAAATAGAAAAGTCCCTTATTGTTTAGCACCATACAGGCAAATGAAAGTATGTGCCTACTGTCCATCTCAGACGTGGCTTAACTTTTTGACATTTGCCTGTGTCCCTTCAATCAGCAGTCTGGCCCATCAGCCGCGCGACTTTCATGTTTTGGCAAGGGCCTCTTATGGTGGACACTTGGTGTCACTCCGCCTTTTTTTTTGGGGGGGGGAGGGGGGGTATGGTGTTTTGTTGGCTTCTTGGCTGCCAAGTATTTGCTACTTGTCCACGGCCCGCCACTCACTCACATGACATCCGCCAGGTGACTTCCCCGAGCTTGTCGCGGAGCAGTTGGACCGGCTCAAGCAGGTCCTTGTGTCGGCCTATGCCAACGAAAGGACCGCGCAGAAGAGCCAAAGGTTTCAGAATCGAAGACACGTCCCGTTTTGATCGGGTGGTTTCAACCCCGTCTAATTAATCCCCACCCCGGTTCTCACCAGATGTGGGGGGTGGGGGTTGATAATGGTAATTGTTTTGTAGATATTTAGCCCATTGCACACGGGTTCTCAGATTTCGGGAAGCAGAATGACCCTGGAATGACAGCGAGTTGAACCATGCTTCCCAAAGCTCGAAGGAAGCTGTTGGAAAGCTAGGTAAAGAGAGGGCTTCAAGCGGGCACGGAAATGTAAGGTCCTTACTGAAAGGGGAGCCACCCGAGTTTATCCAAAGTGAACCGAAAGCATAACATAGCAAGCCCGGCGTAAGTTTGAAGTCAAAGGCTGTCTTTGCTTTCGTGCGCGATATGGCGTCCATCACGGGCACTGCAGAGCAAAAGTAAATCTGAATCTCTCGTGCAAGCATCCTCTCGCAAGTGTTCTCGCTCGAGTTTACTCGTGCAAGGGAGCCTGTGCGAATTTGCTCGTGCAATTGTGCAAGTTGCTTCTCGCAAGTGCTCTGTGCAGGTGCTTTGTGCAGGTTGCTCTGTGCCAATTGCTCTGCGCAAGTCCTTTGTGCAAGTTGCTCTGTACGTGTGCTCTGCACACGTTTGTTAGCCAAACTTCTTTTTGGGAGCATAATGGAAGACCAAAGCTATTTTTTCACGGTTTGTTCTGAGTAGGCCAGGGCCACGGATTGGTTCATTAGATGCGCGAGTCCAGGAGTGATTTGTGATGCATAGACGCGACAATTGATGTTGTAATGCTTGCAAAATGCTGGAAGAAGTTGAAATTTGCCAGTCAGAGAACATGGCAAACAAGGGTGGGCAAAGAGAAGTGGCGGCGGAAGAAATAGGAGCACGAAATAAATTTGGAAGGTCGAACTCAAATGGGTTGGAGCAGTTTCGAGTGACAAGACGCAGACCCACAGGTTGCATTTCAGTTCCAAATTGTTACGCATAGGTTGGCGCGAGCCAGCAGAGAGGGACCCGCAAGATCTCAGGGAAGCTGCAGCAGGGCTTGTGGTCACCGAGGAGGAGCGGCAAAGTGTGACTCGCACCTTGCAGGCTTTGAACCAGCCCTGTCGTTGCTGCCAAGCAAGTTCTTGACAAAAAGAAGGGTTGCAAAAATATGCCGTCTTGCACCCGCTCCTTCCCGCGTGTGGTCAGCGAAAAGAAGTGTTCTCGTGTGCCTTGCATGGTTCCCAACAAATTTGCCCTGCCCGAAGACCGCGCAGCGAGACATGAAGTCAATAGCCGACCGCAGCCTGTCCACAAGTGACCGCTGCCTGGCCCGCTCAGCTGCGAGCTTGGCAGAACTCAGAACGTGCGCGACCTTCAGCTGCGTCAGGCAAATCATCATCCGACACAGGCGTGCCCCGAGCAGCCTGGAGGACGGCGCGACCAAGTGCAGCAGGTAAAACACCTCGGCGGGCGAGGTGACATTCCCCTCCGAACTTACATGGCCCGAGGGCAAGGGCCAGCGCCTGGGCGGAGCATAAGATTTTGGGTTTTCAGTCTGCTCGAGCGCGTCGCGGGGTAGGTCGACCAACGGCCTCAGCTCATGAGGACATGCCGAGGTGTGCTTGGCAAAGCCCTGCGTAGCGAGCAAGTGCACGGGGAGGCAAGGATATTGCGCACGTAGAGGTGGCGAGCAACTGACACGCTCAGTCCATCTGCCCCCAACGAAACGGACGCAACGGAACAAGGTAACCGAGAGATGCACCGAAGGCTGGTCACTTCGCAAGGCGAAGTGGGGACGACGCGCCAAATCCTGGACAGGAGGTGAAGAAGGACATGAAGATGCAGCCTTTCATAGCAGCGATTTTGCCCTGAACCGGGCGCTTCTCACGCCCACCCCGACGCGAAAAGGGATCTGGACTAAACCATGTGAGATGGCCCTCATGTTGCCGCCGCACGTTCCCCTGGTCAGGGAAGGAAGTTTGATGCGAACCAGCGCACGCGACAGGCCAGTGGGGCATGGGCTGAGCGAAGGAGGGAGGCACCCATGTCGCAAGAGGGGAGGCAGCACGAAGAAGCGAGCGCAGAGCACTTCGGTCCAAATGCGACACATGGGTCCCAATGCCGCGGCTCAGCATAGCGCAGCGCAGAAATTATCCCCAACTACGTGTTGAGTGGAACAGCACGGGAGAGGAGAAGAAAGTAGATTCTCAAAACCGCCCAGTTGTGAACGAAGCTCCGAGGAATGCTGGGCCACCTGCAACGTGGGCAAGAGCGACGGATCTATCCCACATTTTTGCTGAGTGGCACGAGGCGAGGAAAGAAGACGCCATACAGTAAGCGAAGCAACGAGAGTCAATT